CTCTGATCACCTGTTCCACACATATGTACACGAATAATTAATGCAATACCTTGTTCATCACAAAGCATTTATATCAATGTATGTATGAATGGTTACCTCCACTTATAGTGTTTGTCAAGTTTTTGAACAGACTATGACCACCATTATTATTCAATTGGTCCATGGAAGACTGGTGTGGTAGGGAATACAACCACTTATTATTAAGTCGCTCTTTGTCACACTTAGCTTCGACGAAGCTTGTTGCTGATGATGATGCCTGAAAGACAGGGTGTTAGGGCAAACAATTATCTCTCTCACCATAGAAGTACGAAATACACAAAAATTCATGTAAATACGAAAAGGTAGGTGGTGTTCGCTAATCGCTACAGCTTATACGGATGAATCTCCCACTGCACTTCAATGTCCGGACCCTTCAGCGACGTTTGGGCTATTTGGGTTTAGGTTAAGCTTTTTTTTGTCATGGGACCCACAGCTTGTAATAAATAAATAAAATTTAAAATAAAACATCCGTAGCTTCATCCTCTCCTGTCAGCCCTTTCGTCACCAATTGGCAGATGCAGATGCATCTCTTTCCTCTGTCCTGCTCCGCCAGAGCAGCAAGCAAGAGGCCTTGCTCTGTCGGCCTCGCACGGGGCGTGCGACCTGCAGCGCCGGTGGCCCCCGTGGTGGCTTGGGCGTTCTCCCGCGGATGGAGCTCCGCAGCCTTCTCCATGCGGCGTGGCCTCCTGGACTTGGCGTGGCGCGGATGGAGGTCAACGACCTTCTTCGATCGGCGCAGCACGAACGAAGCTTGGCGTGAGGGCCTTGGCACGAGACAGGCGTGGGTGGTGCGAAATCGAGGGAGTCGAATCTAGCCAGCTGTACGGTACATCGCCACAGTCGAGTGCGGCCCTCGATCCATTGGAGCATCGCGAAGCTTCCTGCTGCTCCTCGATAGCAGCGACTTCCTCAGCTCCGGTCGGCAAGGAGGCACACAAAAATGGTACCAGCCCAATCTTGTTTCATTTGGCATTTACCATCAATGGCACCAATGCTATCTTGCTAGCTTGTTTCGTAAAGTTTTTGGTGTATGACTCAGAAGTTGCTAATTGGATCTTGTAAGCGTTCTAGGACAGCAACTGTCTTCTTGGACAAGCCAGATTTGAGTGGCCGGGCTCGCCGGATTCGAGTGGCTAGTCTCAATTTGGTGTGGTTGGAGGGTGTGAGTGAGGGGCAACTTCTTTTTGTTATTTCCTGAAACTGAATTAGCAAATTCTTTTTGTTATTTTCTGAAACTAAGTTAGCAATCCTTTTGTTATTTCCTGGACAAGAATGCTTCATTGTAAAAAAAAATGTTTTCCTGGAATTGCTGCTGTGATCTAAATATGTATGGTCGTTTTCCAGCTTACTTGCATTACCTAATAGCTGCAGCATCAAAACAGCCTAGAAGCACACAAAAATAAATGTAGTTGTCATTCTTTGTGCAGAGTTATGTACTCAGGTGCTCAACATAGCGGGCGCTGTAGCGGTGACCGCAACAGCTCTCGATGCTCTAGGCTGCCATGTACAGCGTGTGCCAAAGAATTAGCAGCAGCGAGAACGAGCATGTGGTTCGTGGGAACCCATCATCGAGCGCCAAAAGGCGTCCGCCAGCGTGGATAGTGGCTCCACGTTCTACTCCGACCCCAACCTCAAATCCGCCTTCTTCATCTTCTAGGTCACCCCATCTCCTCTATTGCCCTTGCTATCTTGGCATTGATATTCCTGACTACACGATTCACCCAACCAGATGTCTGTTGCTTTGCTATTTTGTCAATGTGGATCTACTTTCATCCATTTTTTCCATGATGGTTTGATTCAATTTTTGTATTTTCATTATCTCAACCATGGCCATTATGTCATTTATCTGAAATGCTTGAAGTATCTGTTTTCCTATATTGTCTTAGTCTAAAAGTTATTGAGAATGCTCATTATTTAGAGAAGTCAGGCAAGTTGCAGTTTTGCTGCAGTGGGATTCGCCTACATTTCAGATAAATCATAAATGCCAATTTGTAACAATTTGTCTATAGTCAGGCAAAGTTGCAATTTTGCTACGGCAGGATTCACCTACATTTGAAACAAATCATAGATGCCAATTTGTAACGGTTTGTCTATACATTTGGTGTGTCTGGTTGCAAAATCAATAATGAAAATGCATATTGCAAACTCATATGGACTTGGGGGGCCAGGCTGGAAATTGTTGGCACTCTCTTTAAGAGAGAAAATTCTTGTATCTTTATTTAATCTCTTTGGTTCACCAAATAAATTTCCTACGTGCAGATTCAAGTATAGGTTTTGCATTACAGTGTTAATTTTTCCAAAGATAGGTCGATAATACAATAAATAGAAACTACAAGACATTTGGTGACTTCTATATCTTAGCATTATAAATAGCAGGGGAAAAAAAGAAATTCTACAATTATACATAGCCTTGTAACATCAATGAAAATACAGCAAATAGAAACTACAAGACATTTGGTGACTTCTATATCTTAGCATAGCCTTGTAACATCAATGAAAAATTTCATATGCCATTCCCTTTTGTTTTAATGAAACCACTGTTGGACTATGAACACATGAAGCTATATATTGGCATGCAAAATTAGCTAGGACTGTATGAGGTGAAAGAAAAGGTTCAGAGCCAGGCAAATCAATTGACTGTATATTATTGATCTTTCTTTAGTTATCATCAAGGGGTTATTTGGATCCATAGGCTGCAAAAAGTAATTGTGAAATTTGAATCTGCTCGTACCTGATGATGGCAAGAGTACAATGCCTTTCGGATTTATTGATATGGTTGCATCTACCGTCAATACATGAAGAATATCTTGCAAAAAAAACATGAAGAAGATGAATTCTAAGATCAATGAAGGATTACCTGACTGACGGCAGTGACTAGAGCTATTTGTGAGTATCCGACCTTGGGAGACGCAAGCCTGAAATGATGCAAAGCGCGGTAGGATGCAGTCATATGAGTAGGTTCCAATAGCACCTCGTTCACACGGCCTTTTCAGCATTAGAGCAGGAACATGATTGAACAAATTTTCTTGATCTCAAATATGTAGCGATCATCTTATAGTAGTGTTCCTCATGCTTATCTGATTAACATAATATCACCTTATTCACACAACCTTTTCAGCATTAGAGTAGGAACATGTGATTAAACAAAATTTGCATGATTTCAAATATGCAGCGATCATACTATGGTAGTGTTTCTCATGCTTATCCGATTAGCATCAAATCATTTCTAAGGAAAGTTGAAGGAAAATAAAGTTTATCATTCAGAATAGGATGAAATGATAAACCACACCTGATAAGCAATTGCAGTCACCTTAACTGTTAGCGCGGCAGCGCCGAGGGCCTCTTAGTGCATTGCGTGCGGCGGGCCGGGTTCTGCGCGGCGGCGGCGGCGGCGTGGTGTCCGGCATCATCGATGATGGCCTGGCGTGGATTTGTGAGAGCGGACGGGAAGGACTGGAGGGGCACGTCAATGATGGCCTGGCGTGGATCGAGGATCCGGTTTACGATGAGATATATCCATGCCCGCCCGGGTCGCGATGGATTTGTTTTCTTCCATGCATGAGCGTTCCTTCATGCACGAGCCAGTCAGGCAGTTGATCGATTTTTTCCCCTTGCTTCCGTGCGGTCACCGAGCGAGCGAGAGAGAGAGGGGAGAGGGGGACCGCATGATTAATGTTTCCTTGCATGCACGAGCCAATCAGGTAGGTGATCGATTTGTTTGCTTCCATGCACAAGCGTTCCTTGCATGCTCGAGCCAATCAGGTAGGTGATCGTTCCGTGCGGTCAGGAATCGCCGGGGGAGTCCTACGTCGGGGTGAAGCAAAGGTCGCACGACCTATCGTCCTGCCGGGTAGATGTTGACCGTAGGAATTTTTTAGTTGTAGAGACAGAGAAATACGAAAGTAAGTTTCTTTTTGTCTGTCATATTTTATTTTCCATAATACCCTCAAAGTTCTCCCTATCCTATCCGTGGATCAGACTTTGTATTACATGGAACTCACTCCTACCGTCCATTGTGCAGTTTGATCCCAAGACAACCCGTGTGATCATGCACACATATATGAGTTAAATCAACACGTCTCTAGATATGTATGATGTTCGATTCCAAGTTTATAGTGTATCACAATGTAGAGTTCCATCTCAAGACAATCCATGTCTAGTTCAATCTCAAGACAATCCATGTCTATATGAGTTAGAGCAGGTACGTCCAGACATGGTACGATTGTGTTAAATAAATCTCTAGTTCCAAGATGAATTGGAACAGATTATATGATTATTTATCTTCTCTACATCTAAAAAGACTCTAAAATAATCATTTATCTTGTGATACCAAATCTCTTTGCTCATGTATCCGCGTTCAATAGGAATCATCTTTCACTCGGAGCTCACGTGTCCGTATGCTACCCGGTTCCAATACAAAGACAGGCCATGTGTTCGCGTCTAATATAAACTCCTTGGAACTCATGCGTTTGTGTCCGAGTATTGAGATTCCGTTAAAAATTTATGATCCCGGTGCAACGCACCGGCATATATCTAGTTGAATAATAAATCTCTAAGCCGCGAACCATATACGACGTAAGCATGCTACAAGTCATACGTCTCATTACAACGCATAGACACGTTGACAAGTTTTTTTTTTTAAAAAAAAAACTCTGATATCTATCTTCGGTGCACACGCAGCTAGAGTGTACAGCGGAGCAGGCGGGCAGGTGGAACCCCGGTTCCGTTCGCAGCCGCAGGGCGCAGGCCGCAGCCATCACGATACGTAAGGTCAAGCTGCACGCGGGGCATGTATGGACACGGACATGCAAATTTCACACCATATATACTTTATTTATTTATTAGGGATGGCGCGACGATCCAGTTGTGTACGTAGATCGTGCACGCACGCATCGCGCGCGGCCGCGACAATTGCAACGAGCTATAGGCCTTGGGTGCCCTTCCACATGGAGACGACCGCGATGCCGGCGGCTGGGGGACGAGGAAGCGGACGCGTCATCATGGTCTCCACTGGATCTTCGGCACGCTCCGCTGCTCCTGTTCGACGAACACGGCGAGGGCAAGGCGACCGACGGCGGCGGGATGTTCCTATTGTACAGCATCCCCAGCAAGCAAGTGCTGCGCAGGAGGGTGGGCGAGATGAAGGATCACCGATACTGGACCGCGCCGCAGGGCTGGGTCCTCATGGCGGCCCGCGGCGGCGCCGTGACTTTCCTGTGGGACCCGTTCATCGGCGCAAGGATCAGCCTGCCCCCCGACCGCGAGGGTTTCCTAGGAGACGACGACGGCCTCAAGAGCAAGAGGTGCCTTCTCTCGTGCAAGTCGCCAGTCCATCATCATCGTCCAAGCCGCAGCTGCCTCGTCCTGGTCGTCGACTTTGCCGACACGGTGCTCTGGTACTGCCAGCTTGGGGTCAGAGGGATGGAGAAGACGTCGACCGCCAGTGGCTGAAGCACGAGTACGGGACGGTCGACGGCATGAGCCGCCTTGCCTGGAGTCTCACGTCCGTGGGTAACAAGTTCCTCATGGACCTCGTCTGGCGGACGGACAATTGCAAGGTTGTGACGCTCGAGTTCTCGCCGGAACCCCAGTTCACCGTGATCCCCGTGGAGGCCGTGGACAGGGACAGCTGGCCCTGGCCGCCACATAACGGCACTTCCAAATATGCGTGGGTAGAATCACAGGGGTGCCTGTTCTACGTCCGCTTCTGCTATTCAGACTGCTCGCTCGGCAATCGTTCCATTGTCAGCGTCGAGGTTTCAAAGCTTGATTTGTTGGCACGGGCCTGGGCGAAAGTAGGGACGCTCGACGGCAGGGCGTTCCTGCTTGTTCATCCTTGGATCCACATGAAGCCGGCTCCGGCTTGAAAGGAGACTGTATCTATTACTGCACGCCCGATGACGATGCGCTCCATGTTTACGACATGGGACGAGGGACTACATCTTTGCGAAATCCTGGGCCCTACATTGGGGATCATGGTTCTACCAAGGTCTTGATGCCTACTACTTTGCTAAATTAATGTTACCTAGTGGAGTAGCTATGTATTCTTATGGGAAATTCCAGCATCTTTTAGCTAGCTAGATGACTTGTTAGTTTACTTTGTTTTTTTCTTTTATATATATTTTAAAACGAATAAAGCAGGACAGTTGCGATTATATTAAAAAACAGATGAAGCCCGGACTGAAGCACCTGCTGAATAACATTTGCGTAGCACTTTAGCCACATTAAAAAAGGGGTAAAGTACATTTTTCAACCTCCAACTTGTATTGAAGTTCGATTTTCAATCTTCAACCATAAAACTGGGTAATAGATACCCTCAAACTCTCAAAACCGGACAAATTCGGTCCTCCGCATATTTCAAAAGTGGTTTTCTGTCTTCTAATAATAATAAAATCCGGTTCGATCTCTACAAGTTCGAAGTTTATTTATTTTAAATTATAAAAAATATGAAACTAGTTCATGTTTTCTTCTAAAAATGTTATATATAATATATATTGATCTTTAAAATTGTTTTAAATTTCACATATAATTAATGTATACAGTAGTATTGCTATCTCTCGCCGGCATTTATTTTAGATGAAACTACTGTTTTTTTCTAAAAATGTTCTCTACTTATTTATGGTCTATATATAGGTATTTGAAATTGGTTTATTTATGTCCTTTTGCTTTATTGCTCGTTGTCACGCTTGTTATTATTTAAAACAAGTAAGATCTAAACAATTTTAAATATAGCATCAACATATATTGTCGGGTTCATAAACCCGGGGTCCCTCGGGGACCACCTTCCACGCCCAGGCTCGGCCCAAGAAGACAGCACACAACTCGTGGGCCAGCCCGAGAGTCTAAAACAACAGGCTGGAAGGACGGTCCAGTCACCGACCGGAAGGTCTGGCCGAAGAGGAACGGCGTCTGCTCGTCAACTACTTCAGCCCACCTCTCCGACCAGAGCGCTAGCTTCGGACTCCAGCCGCCTCTCCGATCGGAAGACCTGGCCCAAAACGCTACTTCCGACTCCGACCCCGCGTCTCCGACTGGGGTGCGTAGAAACCCTGCTCACCGCTCTTCTCCGACTGGCGTGACCAGAGCCGACTGGGGCCATCCGACCAGGAACGCCCGCTCAGAAGGAGGCAGGGGCGAACGGAGAAAGCAAGCTAGGGCACATAAGTCAAACCATGATACCAGGGACCATACCGTGTACACATGCAGGAACAGTACTCTGCAACCGCCCTAACACAAACAGTATTGTAGGCGTCGATATTTTCCTCTACAGTATTGTAGGCGCCATTAAAACTCCCATACGGTAAGGCCCTCCACGTGCCTCTGGGCATCAATAGTGTTGTGGGCGCCCGGATTTACCGTATGGGGTGAACATGGTGACACTCCTCACAAGCCTCTAGACATCAAATAGTATTTGCAGGTACTGACGTCCACCATTCCTAAACAAGGCAGCGCAACCTCCCACATGCATCCGACATTCTACAGTGACACAGTGTTGTGGGCGCCTACCATTATCTTGTACCCGCCGGCATAAACAACAAAGCTATGTAGCATACATACCCTCACTTGTAAAGCCATCCCCTTTATCTATAAAAGGGGGTGCGCTCCCTCCAAGGAGAAGAGGGCTTTTTTCTCCCGAAGGCTTTTTGAATAACCTTTCTTAGTCCCACTAGTTCAATCAAGTTCACTGGTCCACGACCATAGAACCTCCAGGTTCGGACCTCAAGCACGCGCTTGAACATATAGCTCATAGCATAGCTCCTGTCGCTCCCGGCCCTTCCGACCGGAGCCGATCGGACCTTTTGTACACCCCATCTTTCTCCTTCTCGTTTGTAACCCCACTGCAAACTTCGAGCACCTGGGCTTAGGAATAAAGTCGCTGACCGACCCAAACTGGACGTAGGGCACGTTGCCTGAACCAGTATAAATCATGTGTCATTGAGTGCTAGGCTACCTTCGATCACAACGTACGGCAAAACTACAAATATTTACTAGTTGGTCACATTCTGCACCGACAGTTGGCGCCGTCCGTGGGGAAGACGCTGTACGTTCAACACTTTTTGGTCATCGGATGGCCCACTTTTCCACCACCCTCGCCATGACGAGCTCGGGCAATACGATTCGCTTCGGCTCGCTGGAGTTTCCCGCACTCTCACCCGCTGGGATACGGGTTCTGCCCGTCTTTGAGCCATCCCAGGCCTTCCTATTCGGAAGCCTAGACTTCATCGCCGACCGGCTCGGCGTACTACACCTTCGCGAGGAGGCTCACGTCCCAGCACCCGTCGGAGGGGCGCCCTCCATCGACTCCGGGATGCACGACTTCGACAACGCGGCATCTGGGCTTCTTTCCGAGCAAACTCTCTGCTCAAACCCCACTGTAAGTAATATGCGTTCTGTTATTTACTATCCCCCACCGATCACCCGGAGGGACTGTATCGCCCATGCCACAAACACCGTACGATCGGTTCCCCTACGACCTCGCATCCTCCACGGATACGTACGCTCGGGGGCTCCGAAGGACGCTGGAACCATCCCCCCTCGCAACCGAAGTCATGGGAACGGCAGGCTACGCTCCTGCCATTTTTCACGAACTCTCGGATGACGAGGGCGAGAGCGACGGTTCCAGCACCGGCGACATGGCACCCCGCCATTGTCCGTCCCGGGAGTGCACTATGGCGGACGCTCTGGGACAGCCGCCGGTGGTTCTGGAGTCTGCGCAGACTCACCCCTCCGGACCCATGCACGGGGGCCCTCGCGTCTGCGCGAGCGCACACCGAGGAATTGCGACAATGGCGGCAGAACCATTCGTCGCCGGCGCCGGCACATTCGGTGCAGCACGTTGCGCTGCGTGCGCATCACCCGACGGGTGGCGCCCAGGGCCGCGCCTGCCAGGTCCAACAAGACATCGTAAATGAGGGGAACGATCCCCACAGTTTGCTCGGGCCAGCCAGAACATGGCCACCGTGGCGATGCTTCTACGCGGCATTCCCGAGACCATCGACCCCTAGGAGCGGGAGGTCTACCAGAACCTCAGGGTTCTGGTAGAAGCCGCCGTTGTTCAACAGGTGAAAAGCTCCGCATCGCGACTCCAACATGTGCCCTCCCTCCCCACCAGGGGAACGGGGACGCGTCAGATGGATCGCTCCATTCGCTCGAAGCTACAGCCTCTAGGTGCGGCCCAAGGGGCGACAGCCGCACCACGGTCCAACCTGGCACCTGCCCCGCACCAACCGTCGGTGCATGAACAGATCGGTCCGCACCAGGACGCCCGCAACATCATCAGCAACCGGCATCGGGTCCAGCAAGATGATGACGCCCATCGGGCGGTGGTAGGAGCAGACAACACAGATCCCGGCCAGACCATCGAGGGGAGCGGTGAAACACGCCCCAGGCGCGGTCGCCGACCGGACGACCGGAGTCCTTGCCCTGAGGGCCCGGGACCACGAGCCTTCGACCGACATATCCGGAGAGCACCGTTCCCATGGCGCTTTCGATCGCCCACCAACATCGCCAAATACACCGGGGAGACAAACCCAGGTATTTGGCTCAAAGACTTCCGGCTCGCCTGCCAGGCCGGAGGAGTGGATGATGACTTTTTTGTCATTCAGTATCTTCCCATTTGCGTGGGGGAGCATGTTCGGGCATGGCTTGAATTCCTCCCACACGACAGCATTCGCGACTAGGTAGACCTCAAGAGGGTCTTCGTCGGAAACTTCTAGGGGACGTATGTCCGCCCCAGAAACTCCTGGGACCTCAAGAGCTACCAACAGGAGCCCAGCGAGTCCCTACGGGATTACATCCATAGGTTCTCCCAACGATGCAGCTCCCTCCCTGAGGTCATCGATGCAGACGTCATCAGCGCGTTCCTCTCTGGGACGAACTATGAGTCCCTGATCCACAAGCTTGGCTGCTTGAAGCCCCGTACCACCCGCGACCTGCTCGACGTCGCCACTAACCACGCCTCTGGTGAGGAGGCGGTCGGAGCGGTCTTCAACGGAGGCCGGGACAAAGTCAAGGCCAAGCGCGCGGACCAAGACAAGGGCCCCTCCACACAGAGGGGCAAGAAGAACAAAAAGGATTGGCGCCGATCGGATAACACCACGATGGTCGCCGTGGCCGATCGCATGGGCAGGGGCTGCTTGACCACTTCAACAAACTCATGGATAGTCCATGCACCAACCATGCCTACTCCATCAAACACCTCTTCAAGGACTGTGAGCTCCTCAAACATTTCCTCTGACAGGCCGGTGGGCTAAAGGAGGGAGACAACAAAGAGGCGACGACCAAGAAAGGAGGCGCAGCAGGCAAGGACGGAGATAGCTTCATCAAACCTAAGGAGTGTATCATGATCTTTGGCGGGTTCGACGCCATCTGGACGAAACACCAGCACAAGGTGTGCTATAGGGAGGCATGCACTGCTGAGACAGCCATCCCCTCCTTCCTCAGCTGGTCAGAATCTCCGATCACCTTCGATCAGAGGGACCATCCCTCCCACGTCGCAAGACCAGGACGCTACCTGCTCGTCGTCGACCCCATCGTCCGCAAGAAGCGCCTCACTAAGGTGCTGATGGACGAAGGCAGTGGCCTCAACATCCTATACATCGACACCCTCGATGCCATGCGCATCCCCCGATCGGAGCTCCGCATGGCGGGCTCCCCCTTCCACGGGGTAATCCCGGGAGCGCAGGCATACCCGCTCGGGCAGATCAATCTGCCCGTCACGTTCGGCGGCCGGGCCAATTTCCGCTTAGAGGTCCTCACCTTTGAGGTGTTGGATTTTCTAGGGTCCTACCATGCCATCTTGGGGCGGCCATGCAACGCAAGGTTCATGGCGATCCCCAACTACACCTATCTCAAGATGAAGATGCCG